AATCTATTTCAGTTCCACCAATGTCCTGGATGACTTCCACGGGGATACTGGATTCAATACCTAACATTCTAGGTCACAGTTCCCTGACTTAAATTTCAGTTACTATTTCAACTCCATTTCAGTCATCCATAGCTGTGGGTGGACCTGGAGCTTGTCATCACCTGGAATTGTTTCACCTCAGTATCAATTGAAATATTTCATTCTCTGACCTTAATCTCCACTCCTTATACCCGTCTCATCTTTATTCTCACTACATCTCCCTTTAAACCAGTTCCTTAATTCACTCATACTCTCCCAGTTTATCAGCCCGCTCCTATTCCCCTCAGAATATATTATTTAAAGTTTGGCTGATAGCATTTTTAGAATAGCATTTTTCAGATTATGGATCACGACCTATTAGTGGCTTGTGAAAACAATTTGGCAGGTTCTGATCAATATACTTTAAACATGAAATAAAAAATATAAGCATTCACTGCACAAAGGAAGGGTATTGTTTCCTTAAATTTTGTTTCAGTTATGTTTACATAAATTTACACCTTAGTGAAAAAATATTGCTAAAAAATGCTAACCATCTTTTAAGCTTTCAGCAAGTCCTAATCACTACTCACAGATGACTAAACAAATACAAGAATTTGAGGTATCACCAGAATTACCAAAATGTGCCAGACATGAAGTGAGCAAATGCTGTTGGGAAAATGGCACTAGTAGACTTGCTTGATGCAGGTTTGCCACAGACCTTCAATTTGTAAAAAAAACAAAAACAAAACAAAAAAAGCACAAAAAACCTCAGTATCTGTGAAGCTCAAGAAAAATGAGGTATGACTATTGCCAATGTAAAATTTAAGTCTATTACTCTAGCTTTCCTGATAACCTCAAGAAAATGTACAGTATATAAAATTTCCACCTGATTGTCACTGCCTTACGGTCTTGGGAAAAGCTTACCATTAGATCAGTCCCAGAGGTAAAATAAAAAGGGTCACTAGTAACAAACATGCCACTAACCCTGGGTCATTCACGCAAATATTCACACAATCTCCACCGTTTTTCACACAGAGAAGCAGCCTGGCCTTTGGTTCCAGAAAAATGAGTGACACAAACTTTAGCTCTGACAGTTAACCCCTATATAACCCCCACTGGATGTGTTTCCTCATCTGTAGGACTCAAGTGTAGCAATGAGCTGTACCTTAAAGAGCCGTTGTGAAGATTACAGACACTACATATAAAATATCTGCCTCCTAATTATTGCTACCATTATCCTCCCTAAACCAGCCATTTTAACATATATGAAGAAGTGGAGAGCTGCTAATACGAGACAGAATCTGTTACTTTGAGTAAAATCCGTCAGCCCACAGTGATTTTTCTTTTTGAGGCTCTGGAATCCTTCTCTTTGGTCTCGCCTTGTCAGGTTTCCTCAGGAGACTGAGGAGGTCTCTCCACACGCTTTGAGGGACTGGAGTCGGACGACCCTAGCCTGGCGACAGGCTGAGGAGAACAGCTAAGAGGGGAGAAGTTCGGATGTGTTTTCTGTGGAGCGGACCAGCTTCTCCAACGTGAGATAACCGGATCCCGAGGGACTAAGGAAGGGCTAAATGAGACCCAGGATTTCTCACCTCCTCCGTCGCGTTAGGAGGGAGGTCGCAGCGGTCAGGGAAGCTCCAGCTTCTTCACGAGGCCGCCAACCCGGCGGAACCCACCAGTCTATTTCGATAGCCGTTAGCTCACTCGCGACTCCTCGCTCAACCACCCGCAGCTTTCCTGGACCCTCAGACCGAACCACTAGCGGCCCCGCGTGACTGCGTATCCCGGCAACGGGGGCGGGGCGGGGAGAGAGCCCTCGTCCTGATTGGCCAATCTTCGGCCTCGGCCCCTGGTAACTACAAGCGAGGCGAGAGTAAACTGCTCTCGCGAGATTGGAGGGCTAATTTTTGTGGCCGAAAACCTCCGTGCATTTCGGGTAGAAAGAGAAAACGGCGACTTGGCTGAGAAAGAACGTTTCATTGGAAAACTTTAGCGTTCTTTATAGTTACAGCAACCTGTCCGATTGTGTCCCCGAACTGAATTCACTCCTAGCGGGTTTTATTATATTCTATGTCACCTCATACGTGCTATCATTTTTAATAAAAACTGTTTAAAGTTTTTTGTGGTAGGCAGCCTTGTACAGTCTTTGTACTTCTAATTAGAGGTAGTTTTCCTTCCGGTTAGGACTGCGCAGCGTATACATTAAGTATAGATGCGTTTCTGGTACCATCTATTCCTCATTTGGTTGGAAACTTCCTTTCAGAGTTCTTTTGATCCAAGTTTGTGAGGAAGGATGAATTAAATGGACAGTTGTCTTAAAATAACCATTTTAGTGCTCACTTCAGCAGCACATATACTAAAATTGGAACGATCCAGATAAGATTAGCATGACCCCTGCTAAAGGATGACAGGCAAATTCGTGAAGTGTTCCATAGTTTTTACAATGGAATATTATGCAGCCATCAAGAAGAATGAGAGCTTGCCATTTGCAACTACGTGGACAGAACTGGAGGGTGTTATGCTGAGCGAAATAAGTCAATCAGAGCAAGACATGTATCATGACCTCACTGATATGAGGAATTCTTAATCTCAGGAAACAAACAGGGTTGTGGCAGTGGTGGGGGGTGGGAGGGATGAGGTGGCTGGGTGATAGACATTGGGAAGGTTATGTGCTATGGTGAGCGCTGTGAATTGTGCAAGACTGTTGAATCACAGATCTGTACCTCTGAAACAAATAATACAATATATGTTTTAAAAAAAAAAGAAGATAGCAGGAGGGGAAGAATGAAGAGGGGGAAATTGGAGGGGGAGACGAACCATGGGAGACCGATGGACTCTGAAAAACAAACTGAGGGTTCTAGAGGGGAAGGGGGTGGGGGGATGGGTTAGCCTGGTGATGGGTATCAAAGAGGGCACACACCGAATGGAGCACTGGGTGTTATGCACAAACAATGAATCATGGAACACTACATCAAAAACTAATGATGTATGGTGATTAACATAATAAAAATTTTTAAAAAATAAAGAGAACTAAAAGATAAAATAACTATTTTAGTATCAGTGTTTTTAAAAAACACAATGTAAGAACTACTTCATCTCAAATCCCACCTCTCTAGTAAAGTAGCCGTTTGTTTTCTTCCAGTCTCCCTATAGAGTTAATGTGATTGCAGCTATACTCATAACTTACATATATATTGGACTTTTAATGTTTTTTACATTATTTCCAACTTGCATACTTTATTTATATCCAGATTTATTTTCTAGTATGTCTGCCTTCAAGTAGTTTAAAATGAATCCAATAGAAAATGAAATAATGTCATGTGGCTAATTTCTCACATCAAGTTTGTAAAATATTTTTATGTAATTCTCCCATTTGAGCCCAACATATTTGTAGTGGTCACTTATTATTCTTTTGGTCACTGTAGTGAATGGTAGCAACATTTGCCACTCAAAAATATGCCACTTTCGTATAAGGATTATTTTGAGCTAAATGCAATTGGAAAGGAGATACAAGAAAAGCTACCATTCCCCTATTTGCCTAAAAGCAGGACATAAATTTTCAAAGGTGTCCCTTCTTGCCTCTCCCTACCAGGAAGGACAAATTTAGTCATGGGAGACTTTAGACCCTTTGTCAGTCTAGACTACATGGAGGAATCTACATAACAAACTTTACTAACTGGCCTTTATTTACCATTAGTTCCCCATATATTTGCCTCTCCATAATTTGCTCCCTCTAAAGACTTAAGGTCCTTTTCTTTTCTTCTGTAAATACTGTTCCTTTGTTAAGATGTTATATAAGCCCAGACTCTAGCCATCTCTTTGAGTACTCATCTCTGAGTTTCTCTTGTATATAGGACATATATATGTTAATAAATTTGTTTTTCTCTTGTTTATCTGTCTTTTGTTACAGCGCCCCACAGAAAGCCTAGAAGGGTAGAAATAAAAAAGATTATTTCCTTCCCTACAACCTCTGTCCAACTACTCCATATACAGAATTGTCTGAGAGATAGGCGCCTGGGTGGCTCAGTAGGTTAAGCAGTCTGCCTTTGGCTCAGGTCATGATCCCAGGGTCCTGGGATCGAGTCCCTCTTCCCTCGTGGGGCTCCCTGCTCTGAGGAGCCTGCTACTCCCTCTCCTCCCCACTTGTGCTCTCTCTCTCACTATCTCTGTCTCTCTCTCTCTCAAATAAATAAAATAAAATAATTGTCTGAGAGAAACTACTGACACGGAGATTTCTCCCTGAGTGCCTTCAGACACAGGGAGGGGGACCCACCATTTGTCATCTGTATGCAGATGTCACAGTTGGGAGAAATATCCTAAATCTTAGAATTGCTTAACACATAAAATATTTAAATTTTTTAGAGTACCAAGGACGCAACTTAGGGTTCACGGGATTTAAGGCAAACGATTGATTACAACTTGGTCCCTAGCTCTCTCGTTTTAACTAAAAAACAACGTTTAGCTTGTGAAAGTCTCCGGAGACTGCAGAGTAGGTTTGGGGAAATCGGGGCTAAGCTGCCCTGACACAGCGACCGAAGCAACCTTTTTCAACAAGAGAGGGCGCAGCCCCTCGGATCAAGATTTAAAAATATCCGGATTGGGCGCCCCGGAGTCTCAGGTCCCACTGGCGCATGGCATTGTGGGGTTTGTAGTCCCAGGCCACATCTTGTACCACAATAAGCAGTTCAGCCAGGACTCGGAGTGGACTCGGGCTCGGAAAGAATCTGGACTGGGGCGATCGGGCGAAGCGGCCGGACGTTATCTCTTCCTTGGCTGGGGGTCCGCGGCGCGGGAGGGAAGCGAGCTTCATCTCGGCGTCGGCCTCAGCAGCCGGGACGCACACGCTTTGCGTCATGGCGGGCTGAGACAGATGATGAATTCCGGTGTGCATGTCAGGGTTGCTGTGTCACTCGGCCCGTTCGGCGCTCCCCTTCCCCGTCGCCCTTCCGCACCGGGTCTCGGGCTCTTCCGGTCCTCAGCGGCCCCTCACCTGCAGGCCCCTCGCCCGCTGCGCCCCGACGCACCCCCGGCCTCCCCTGCGGACTGATCTCGCGCGGTGCCTGGGCCCCGGGCGCCGGACAGACGAGGGCCATGGCGAGCGGCGCCGCCAGGTACCGGCTGAGCTGCTCGCTCCCGGGCCACGAGCTGGACGTGCGGGGCCTGGTATGCAGCCTCTATCCGCCGGGGGCCTTTGTGTCCGTGTCCAGAGACCGCACTACCCGCCTCTGGGTCCCAGACAGGTGAGCTCTGCGAGTCCGGGGGCTCCCACCACCCACCCCAGCCTGTGTTGCAAGCTTCCTACTGCTGATGGGAAGAGAGGGACTCTTCCCTGCTGTTACCTTGCACTCTTCCCGGCCTTGACTCCAGTTCGCGCTCCCTCCCAGTTCTGAGAGCACTAGTACTCTGGGCGCACAGTGTACGAAACCCGTGAGATTTAGGTGGAAAGAGCGCCGCTTTCGAGAAACAGAGATGTACATTCTTGTCCTAACTTGACCACTAACGGATGGGTGACCTTGGACGAATCTCTTATCTTTTGGGCGATGATTTTCCATGTTTCTTTTAGATTGAAAATTTACTGATGCTAGGTGCACCCCCCTAAATGAAACATTGTGAAACATCTGACATGTAATTGAAGTAAAGCCTCTTCTTTCCCGAGAATTTGCTCTGTAGTGTTCCCTCAAATTTAATTTTTGAGAACCTTAGTTCTCAAAAATTGCGTGGCAGAAAGTTGCATTGGCTCCTGTCCTCATTGTCCAAATGAGAGTTTCTTAGTCTGGGGTCTGTAGTGGGCCTAGATGGAGGGGATGAAACTTTTCACATGTTTTATGGATGTGTGGGGATGTGCTGTTTTCTTGAGAGAAAGCCCATTGCCTTCCAAAAGATTGTCAGAGGGATTAACCAAAAAGAGAAATAAAGGAACAGAAGGTTAAGCTCAGGTCCAAATCATGTTAAAGGGGTCAGTTCTGATTTGTCTGGTTGTAACAGGAAATTTATTATCTGGGAGACAGATTTCAGTTCAGAAAGAGAAAACTTGAGGTGATTTACTTTGTTATGTAGTAAGTCTCCCATTAATATAGGTTTAACTCAGAGTTTGTGTAACCATGAATAAATTCAGATGATAACTGTTGGTTAAGTGCCTCCTATTTGTTTACAGTCCTGAAGAAGAATAAGACAACAGACAAGTTCCCTGTTTTTATGGAGCTTTCTTATCATCTGGGAGGGAAGGCGGATCAGAAAAAAAGTAAAATAATTGTTCATTGGCATGTGTACTATGAAAAAAGCAAATACAAATACAGAATTGAGTGGAGGGATGTTAAAGAAGGAAGCCCCTCCAAGGAGGGTTTCCGTTTTGTTTTGTTTTTTAAAGCTGACACCAAGATGGACCTGGTCATGGGAGCAAGGAATGAGGAGGGATGAATTCAAAGGGCCTTGTAGACAGTAGGAGGATCAAGCACAGAGACCCTGGATTAAAGTGGCAAGTCCCTTTGTGCAGGAGGGAATGAGCTGTGAGGTGAGGGCAGGAGACAGAGGTTGGCTGGAACCAGATGCTATGGTATGAGTGCCGTGAGAAAGAGTAAGCAGAAGCCTTCAGTGAGTTTCATGCAGGGAGCAGCATGATTTGATTGACCTATTGAGAAGTTCTGCTAGCTGCTGGTGGAGATTGGATTGCAAAGGGATAAATGTGGAAATTTGTTTGGAGTCTTTTGCTGTAGTGCAGCCAATACATGATGATAAACAGACTAGAAATATTGTAGAGCAACCTCCTGTATTGAATTGGATGAGATCTCTAAAGGTCTCTTTAACTCTTAAGATTCTGTGATATTCCAAATCACTTAGTAACACTAATACATAACTTTTTGTGTATTTGAGTGTAATTACTGATTAAGCTTATATCCTTAAAATTGAGTTAAGCAGAAGCATATACCCAGTAGGGTATAAATATTGCGGTAAGGAGTATCTAAAGGATGCCTGCTGTCATAGTTGAGTCCTGCCATTAAACTTCACACGTTTTGTAGGACTCTGCTAGATTGACAAGAGCTTAAGTCACTGGAGCATTTGCATTTTTCAGGAACTTCAGGAATTTGAGGTTGAAATCATCTATTTGAAAAGTGGTGTGTTTTTTTTTTAACTCATGTTTTTGATTTTGTTTTCAAAACCATTTGTGAATTTATTCATCTAACGCTGATGGAGAGCCTCCATTGTGCCAGGCACAGGAGTAGATAGTGGGTGATTAGTGAGATAAGATTGTTTTATCTCTCATTTCCAACTACTCAGAGTAGGTCATCTCATAGTCACTGGGTGATGAGTCTCTTCTAACATCCATATAAAAAGTGTCCTCAAGGCTGACATCCTGACAATTTCTATTTCATGGTATGTTAATAAAGTTAATGAAGTGCTATAAGTGTTTGTGGCCAAATAATAAATGAAAATTGTTTTCCCGTGTACATTGTTGATAGAATTCTGGATCAGGGTAGTTAGTGTACAATTGGATTGGGAATGATGGGGGAATTTAATTTAGTTTTAGGGAAGGAAAATAATCCTATTCCAGGATGCACTAAACCAGATACTAAACCTGTCTTTTGCAAAAGCCCGTTGAAAATCCAGAAACTCTCTGGGCCTTCAGAAGACGCTTCAGAATGGAGACATTATTTTTTGGTTGTACATTGAACTGAACCAGTCAACATGCCATTGTTTCAGACTGCTTCAGACCTCTCTTATTATAAGCCCACTTCAAGTTAAACTGGATTTCTCAAGTCTGTTACCAACTATTGTGTTGCCTTTTGAAAACTACCCATATTTGGGTTGCCTGGATGTCTCAGATGGTTAAGCGTCTGCCTTCGGCTCAGGTCATGATAGCCCCGCATCAGGCTCCCTGCTTGGCGGGGAGCCCGCTTCTCCCTCTCCCTCTACTGTTCCCCCTGCTTGTGCTCTCTCGCTCTCTCTGTCAAATAAATAAAATCTTAAAAAAAAAAAAAAAAGAAAAAAACTACCCATATTTGAAAGATGCAACTTCAGATTTAAGGTTGTGTTTTAAATCTTCCCTGACCATACCGAGGTTGAAATGACTTCTTCCTCATGTAAACTCTCAGCATTTTGGGTCCTGAGTCCAATGGTTCCACGAGGTTTGTTGAGAAATCAGAACCATCCTCTTCCCAACCCCCAATTTCCTTTTCTTGGAGGCAAAATTTTTATCTCTTTTAACTGCTTATTTTTTGTATTTTACTTCCACGTCTATGCATAAAGTGCTTTATTGCTATTTCTTTTTATTTTTAAAATATTTTAGGCATTTTCTATTCCTACTACGGAGTATTAGAATTTAGCTCTCTTTCTTCACTCTTTCAACCCCCATCACATATGCATCTTTCCTATACTCTGACCCTAATAGTTAACCTTAATTTAGACAAAATCAGTATTTTATGACTGCATAAAATCTATTTACACTGGACCTGTGGAATAAACTATGATAATTTTTCCTCAACCATTTTATGATCTCCCTGTAGCTAGTAAGTGCCCTGCTTTGGGTTTTCATTTGCTTCATTTTTTATGTATTTATCACTAATTCAACTTCATATTCTTTGCTAGTTGTCTAAATCTCTTCTCAAGACCTTTGGACACCCTGGATATTTTATAGTTTAATCTTCCTGGCAATGAAAACTTTCTGACCTTGGTGCACAACAAATCCCGAAATCTCCCTTAATTGTGCTCTCCACAGTTCCCTCTTTTGGGCTTCTTGTATTGGATTTCTCTTATCTGTGTCCTTTTACTTTCTTAGTTTTCTTTCTTGATGCTTTATTGGGGCATATTCTTCAGGAGCTTCCAGAAATACAGTGCACTGATGATAAATGTATTAAGACCTTGCAGGTCTGAAAATGATTTTATTCTGTCTTCCTACTTGAATAATAATGTAAATGTTTGTACTGTTCTAATTGCCAAATAATTTTCCTTCAGAATTGAGCCATTGCTCCATTGTATTCTAGCCTCTAATGTTACAGTTGAGTAGTCTGAAGCCAATCTGATTCTTGAGCTATTATTTTTTTTCTCTCTGGAAAGCAGTGTATATTCATGCATTGTTCAGGGCCATTAGTGGGCCCTTTAATGTCTGTAAGTTCTAGGACATTTTCTTAAATCAGTTCTTAGGTTTCTTCCTCTTGATTTTCTCTGTCCTATTTTTCTGGAACTTTTAATTCAGATATTGAACTTGTTTCTGAATTCTCTCTCTCTCTCTCTCTCTCTACTATATTCTTTCAGAAATTGCTTTGACTTTTTGTGAAATTATCTTCTTGTTCCATGGTTGCAATATCTTCTAGCTCTAAGAATGATAGTGATGATTTTTTTTTTTTTAAGTTATTCTTAGTGGTCTGTTTCCTTCAAATTGGTTTTTTCCCCATGCCTGTTTATTTTGATCACTATATTTCATGGTGGAGAGAGCTTTCCCAGATGTCTGGTAATCCTTATTTTGTGCTCATTGTTAAGAGTGGAGGACTAAAAAGCTCCTGGGAGGGTCAGCTCACAGTTGGGGCTCGCTGGCTGGGTTATCTGGCTGGACCATTTCACTGGACTGATCTCCTGCCTGGAGGATCATTGCCCTTGTGAATGTACACTTTCCTCATACCCCAAGGCTCAAGTATGCCTTGTGTCCTACTAGTCAAAGATTTTCAGCTTTTCTAAAGAGCAAAAGTTCAGAGTTTTCCTCGGTGCAAGAGGGGCAGTTGTCTGGTTGGGGTATGTAGCTGCCCCCCCCCCTTAACACTGGTATTAAGTATTTTTTTCATCAGTTCAAGAAATATTTAATGCTTACCACATGTAACATTGTGTTAGGAACTTGGGGAGACATAAAGAAGACTAGATCTGGATTTTACCTTTCAGAACTTCATAAATGACTAAAAAAGATGCACATAAACATCTATACTGGGAAGTGCTAAGAGTCACAAATAAGTAGATTTAATGGTTTATATAAAATAGATTTTTAAACATGTCTTATCTTTTGGATTTCTTTAGGCCTGTTGATAAAATGCTTTCTAACATTTTAAAATAAAGTGGATGAGTTAAAAATAGCTACTACCAAATAACTTCCTTTGAAGATTTTTTTCATATGATTCAGCTTCCAACTGATTCTGAAGATTTTCAGTAGTTCCTGCTCTTTTTTGGCCCTATTTCTAGATTGTGCTGCTAATATTCTTGAGCTTTTTGGGGATTCATTGGTAGATTGGTCCTCTACTTTGTCTAATGCCTGCTTAGAACTCAATTTTCTCAGGTCTCCTATAGCCTTTATTATTTTTCAACCCAGCTTTCAGTATTCAAAGCTGTATTCCTGTTTCTTTTTCTTCTCATTCCCCCTGGTCTTGTGAGTTTATGCTTTTCTTTGAAATGTGTGTGTATTTGTGTTTATCTGGGAGTCTTTTATATGCAATTGTCTTGTCTCCTTCTACTACACTGTAAACTTTTTGATTTAGCTTGAGTCAGGGATATAATTCTTTATATCACTCCGAGCAGCTAACTTACTGCCTTCCACATAGTATATTGTAATCTGTTGTTTGACTTGTTAGGTAAGGCAATGATGCTGAGTGACTGATGAATAAAACAAATTGATAATCTCTCTTCCTCCCTCCCTCCCTTTTTTTTTTTTTTTTTTGAAAGATTTATTTATTTATTTATTAAAGAGGGAGAAAGAGAGACAGACAGCAGGGGGAGTGGCAGGCAGAGCAGGCAGAGGGAGAAGCAGGCTCCCTGCCAAGCAAGGAGCCTGATGCGGGACTTGATCCCAGGACCCTGGGATCATGACCTGAGCCAAAGGCAGACACTTAACTGACTGAGCCACCCAGGTGTCCCCCTTCCTTCCTTTCAAGTAGGCTCCATGCCCAGCGTGAACTTGAACTCATGATCCTGAGATCAAGACCTGAGCTGAGATCTAGAGTAGGATGCTTAACCAACTGAGCCACCCAGGCACCCCAGAAGTTGATAATCTTTCTAATCCTAAAATAGGTATTAATACCCTAGAGCAGTCATTTTTTATATCCCTGTATTCCCGTAGTTTGCATATTGAAAATGATTGATAGTCTAGCTATTTAGATATACATACTATACTAATGGGTACTAAGTTAATGTTTCATAGTGTGAAAATACCCGCAATGTGTTTAAGGCTTATTGATTGTAGATTCCATTATCCTAATTGCATGAATGTTTCACTTCACTAGGGATTTCTGAGGGTAACAGTCATGGATGAATAGAAATAAAGATGGAATATGAGAAAAAGCCATTTATGATACTCGTTTCCCTCCCTTTCCTTTCTTATTCTTTCTGTTAATTAACATACTTTTCTCAATGAAAGAAAAGAAAACGAGTACTTTGACAATTCATCTCATGTCCTATGCTAAATCAGGGGACGAATGTATATCTTATTAATTACCATGTCTTTCTAGTCCTAACAGGGGCTTTACAGAAATGCACTGTATGAGTGGCCACTCCAATTTTGTATCTTGTGTATGCATCATACCTTCAAGTGACATGTACCCTCATGGACTAATTGCCACTGGAGGAAATGACCACAATATTTGCATTTTCTCACTGGAAAGTCCAGCACCACTTTATATACTGAAAGGTCATAAGAATACTGGTGAGTATAATGCTTTGGTTTTTTTCTATTTGAAGAAGTTTCATCCTGTTGAAAATAAAATTCATATATGCATTCTGTGCTATTTATTACGTTTGTTTTACCTGTGGATATGGCTTGGTAGTGAAATCCTTTTTGGATCATCATCATTCTGTAAATTCTTTGTTACAGATTTATTGTTGTCATCAGTAAAGGTTGACATGCTTATATGTGTAAAAAATAAAGTGTTCAGTTATAAAAGGAAGAAGCTATATAATTTTAATATACTTTGTGGTTTTGCTTTTTCAACTATTTTGTGCGAGGAATTACTATGCTTAGGAAGGACTAAAAGTATATCTTCATCTTTTGGTTGTTATATCTGTATTTATGCAGCAAATCAAAGACTGAGAACAAATGTGTTTAGGGCCTTGGTATCAGAACTGAAGAGTATTTAATACTTTTGAATATTGTTTTCTGTGATTTGTGTATATTTCTGATTGTCTGATGTTCTTGGATTTGTGTGTGGCTTAACAGCTCTTTGTTATAAAATGATATGCTTATTAATCAGTGCAGTCTGTGTACTTATTTTGTGTAACAAATGTGATCTGTAAGCAAGTAGGATGGCCCATCAACACTTTAAACTTAATTCCCTTAAAAAATTTTTAAGATGTTTCGTGTGTGTGTATGTGAAATCTTTAATACAGAGTGATACAGACTTTTTAAACTTTATTAAGGAAGTCTTGGAATGTATATAAGAATAGAAACACATTATTTTATAATGAGTTATATATAAAAGAGAATAATGCCTTTTCCACCCATGTATTTACATAGCGTTATATGTATTGTCAACACATGGCCTATCTTGTTTTCATCTACCCCCTCTTCCACAACATTATTTTAAAGGAAATTTCCAATTTACTATTTCATTTGTAAATACTTCAATATGTACCTCTAAAATAGGGTTTGGAAAACTTTTTCTGTAAAGGGCCAGATAGTAAATATTTTAGACTTTGCAGACCATATGGTCACTTTTACAACTTTTCAACTCTGCCATTGTGTACAAAAGCATCCACTGACAATAAATAAATGAATGAGCATGTCTGTATTTCAATAAACCTCTATTTATGGACACTGAAATTTGAATGTCATAATTTTCACATATCAGGAAATATCTTTCAGTTTTTTTCTCTCAATCACTTAAAAATGTAAAAACCATTCCTAGTTTGTACACGGTACAAAAACAGGTGCCCCACAGGCATAGTTTGTTGATCCCTCCAAAAGATACAAATTATCGGGGCGCCTGGGTGGCTCAGTTGGTTAAGCAACTGCCTTCGGCTCAGGTCATGATCCTAAAGTCCCAGGATCGAGTCCCGCATCGGGCTCCCTGCTCAGCAGGGAGTCTGCTTCTCCCTCTGACCCTCTTCCCTCTCGTGCTCTCTATCTCTCATTCTCTCTCTCTCAAATAAATAAAATCTTAAAAAAAAGATACAAATTATCTTTTTTTTAAGTAATCATTATGCCTAAAATGAAACCTAATTTCTTATTATCAAGTATCCCCTGAAGGCTCAAATTACACTCAGTTGTCTCATAAAAGTTTTTTTTACAGTGTGTTTGAACTGTGACCCAACTAAGGTCCACATGTCTTTTAATCTATGGGTTTCTTTCCCTTTTTTGCCCCTCTGTATTTGAAACCAGCTTATTTATCCTGTAGGATTTCCTACAATCTGAACTTTGCTTATTAAAGCCTTATTGTTTCCTTTTACATGTTCCTCAATCCCCTGTGTGTCTTACAAGCTACTAGATCTAGAAGCTTAATCAGATTCAGATTCAAGTTCTTGGCAAATACACATTATAGGTAGTATTGTGCACTTTCTGATGTAGCACATTAAGAGGCACTTAATATCTCTGTGATGTTAAGATTAATTAGTAGGTTCAAGTGTTGTATCATTCATTCATTTTAAATTCCCATCAGTCTTTTATGTAATGGTTTTTAGCATGTATTGATGATCACACACAGATCTAGTATTTCATTAAGATTTGCAAAATCATTTTACTTTAATTCTACCATTATTTTTGCATTTAATAGCTGGCATTTTTTTAATAATAGAATTTTCTCATATCAATTCTTTGGTTACCTGGGAGACTTATACAAAGAAGGCAGGATAAATGCTCTTTTACTGAGTTTCAGAATGAGTAGGTTTCCTAGCATCTTTTTTTTTTCTTTTTCATTCTCAAATTGTCCCATATTTGGCCATTGGACATCTCTTTAAATTGGCCCCTGTGGGCTTTTGATAAGACCTTTAGCAGTCTTGCTTTTGGTACTACAGAATGTTCCAGGTTCACTTTATGCATTTCTGCTTCTAGACCTGAAATCAGCTGTTACGCCAAGAAGCTCTGTGGTTTTTGCTTTTGTTTTTTCGGTTCGCAGTAATAACTAGAAACCTCAGTTTGGGCTGGAATGGTGCTCAACAGGAGTTTTTTAAACCTGATCTTGTTTTATAATTCTATAAAACATATATGTAGTTCAAAGGAAAAACAACAAGGTATATTCAAAGAAGTCTAGATTTAGTCTGTATTGCCTTTTTGCACTATTCCTTTCCTTATATTTTTAACTTTGTTAGCAGATAGGTATGTATATTTATATTGTCCCTTTATATGTAAAAATAAACAGATAACATACTATATGAAATTTTCTGCCCTTCCTCTTTTTGCTTGATAATATTACCACCTTGGAGATCTCTTTATTATACTATATAGAAATCGTCTGCATTCGTTTTTACAGTGGCATTTTTATTCAGTTTAGCTAGCTGTACTATGGTGATTCTAGCTTATTCAACCAGTCCCCTATTGATGGACATCTGAGTTTTCAATCTTTTGCTAGTACAGTTAGTGCCATGATCAGTCGCTCTGTATATATGTCATTTCCTTCTTTTGGAAGTGTCACTTAGGTATAATATCCATGTAGTTTTATTAGGTATTGCAGAATCCCTTCATTAGATGTTGTAACTTTTTTTGCATTTCCAACAACATCATACGAGTCCCTATTTCCCTCACTGATGGAGTATGTTGTCAGATTTTTAGATTGTTGCCAAAATGATAAGTGAAAAGTGAAATTTGCATCTCTCTGTTCATGGAGGGGAGCATCTTCATATATGGAAGGGATTTTTACCCTTCTTTTTCCTGTGAACTATATTAAAAACTCTTGCCCATTTAATACAGGGTTACTGACCATATTTGAAGCCCTTAATTGGAGTTATAAGCCTTGGATACAAATTACAAATTTTTTCCCAGTTTGTTATCTTTTTTACTTTGCACATTTTTTGTAATGCGAAAGTCAGTTTTTATGTAATCATGTTTGTCTTGATCTTTTAAGGTATTATAAGACCTCATAGAAATCTCTACAGTAAAAAATTCTGCTTCAATTTTGTAGGGTTTTTTTCCTGCCTGATTTATTTCTGCTTTATCATAAGGTAATCTTTTGTTATTTTGTTAATTTGCTTGATGGTTTAGAAGCCAAATGTTATTTGGTTTTTTTTTTTTTCCTTTTTTGACACCCCATAGCATGCTAGTGAGTATAGCTGAAGAAATTAATGATTGACATTCTTATGTCATTTTTTGGTCAGTTTTCTAGCCCAAATTTTATTTTCTACATAGTAAAGTAGTACTAACCTTTAGTTGATATTATATGTATAACACTTCCCAGTTACATTATAAGTTGTGATTCTAAGTAATATGTTGCATTATATGATGTCTTAAGGCTTTTCTCCCCTACCTATTCAAAGCTGAATGCTCCCTATACTTAATGAAAGAGATTTATCTTGTTATTCGTTCTTTCTGCCTGATCTTGAAAGAAATTTTAAGAAACTTTCTGAGCTCTCTAAAATAATGTTTCTCTTGAATTATATGTTTCAATGATCTCTGAGAGAATATAAAGAGCATTCCTGATTACAGCTATCAAGATTGGTGGCTAATTCTTCTTATGAAAGAACCTCCTGTTCCCACAGATTTAAAAACTGAAACTTATTTTGTAAATTCAGCTTGATTCACTATTATCCATTAGGAAATATATGGTATAAGTTTTTGGAAGTAAATTATTATTATCTGAGAAATAAGTTTATCCAAAAGAAAAAAGTTTTTAAAAATTAACCATTTCCTGATAACTTACGGTTTTCTGTTTTTAGACTGGTTCATGAATAATTTATTAATATAAAATCAAATGGTTAAATTTACTACTCTTCTGGACATTTGAGTTTAAAGAACAGCTGATGATGCATAAGCTTTTAAGTTGATTTTTTAAAAATTTTTAATTACTTGAAAAGCAACTTTTCACATAAATGGAAAAATTTACTTTGATTTCAGTATTCAAATACAGTAATCATTTTTATGGGTACGGTAATTTGTTTTGGTCTTTGTCCCTATGACTAAGCATGGGTAATACTTTATAGATACACAGAAGATATTTTCTGTTCCAGTAACTATTTCCTGACTAATTTATTTTTCATTTTAAAGATTAAAATCATTTCATTTCTCTGAACTTTAGTTTCCTCATCTATTAAATGGGAATGATAGCACTTAGTTCCTGGGGTTCTTGTGGAATGTAATGTACTTTTTATGGTGTCTGGCACATGTAAGGACTCTATGTCTTTTAGTATCACTAAGGAAAGGTTAGCCCAACACCAGCACATGTTTACAACTTCGTGTTTTACATACAAATCCTATTTTCCTTTTGTCCTACTTGCTTTTCTACTTGTTTTTAGTTTTATTATACTGTATATGTTTATGAAAGTCACTTAAAATTTTTCTGGAGCAGAGTAGGTAACAAAATTTGGGGAATGTCTATTTAAATATAATCAATGCATAGGGGCGCCTGGGTGGCTCAGTCGTTAAGCGTCTGCCTGCGGCTCAGGTCATGATCCCAGGGTCCTGGGATCGAGCCCCGCATCGGGCTCCCTGCTCTGCAGGAAGCCTGCTTCTCCCTCTCCCACTCCCCCTGCTTGTGTTCCCTCTCTGTGTCTCTCTCTGTCAAATAAATAAATAAAATCTTTAAATATAATCAATGCATATATAGTTTCTAAATTATATTCCTATGCAGGTAAAAAATTGTTTTTTCCTAAAGATAGTGACCCCTTTTTTTCATTTCCATATTTTTCTGTATAACTGTAACTGATATTTTACAAGGGTTGCAGGAAGTCTCCTAAATGCCTATAACATTTTTCAAATAGTCTAACACATAATGAGTCAGAATAGGCTAAGATATGGTATAGTAACAAACACTTCCCTGATCTCAGTGTCATCACACAAGAGTATTTCTCACTCATATTCATCATGGATTAGGGAGGGGAATCTGCTCTTGGAGTTTCTCAGGGACCCAGGCTGGTGGGGGCTTTCTCTTTCTATGTGCTTCAGGAGTTTGGTGTAGCAGTGAAAGGGCAATGTGATTAATAATGCATTGACTCTTAAAAGCATATACCTGAAAGTGTCAGCCACCATTCATACTGTTAACTAATGTGTGCATCATTGGCTGTGCCTGACGTCATGCACAGAAAGGGCAGGGCACCACAATCTGTCTCTGGTTATCAGTTACTCAGCTTGCTCTCCCTTGCATAGGCAAAACATACTCACCTCTCTCTCAATGTCAGACAACAACCCTGGATTCCCCTTTGCCAATATATTTCCTAGAAAAAATTCTCATATTTTTGTCATTTTTAACTTAACTTTTGTAGCTTAAGAAAGCTGTGACATAGGGGCTAAATATATTTGTATATTACAAAATGGCTTTATTCTATCCTTACATTTGGTTGTTAATTTGGCTAGATGTAAAATCCTGTGTTAAAACCATTTAATCTTAGAATTTTGAAGGCATTGCTCAATTGGCCTTTAGTGTATGGTGATTTCCTGTCTTCTCTGTGAGACACACTTCTAGTTCCCTTGTAAGCTTTTAGGATCGTCTCTATTTCTGATGTTCCAGATTTTCACAATGCATCTGTCTCAAAGTGCCTTTCATTTGGCACCTTTGTGAGGTCATTGAATCTAGACATTCATGTCCTTCACTTTTGAGAATCTTTCTTGTATTATTTCTTTGTCCTCTCTGCTCTGTCCCCTGTTATCTCTTTCTGGAATCCCTATCATTGGATATTGAACATTCTGAAATTATTTTCTGACTTTTTAAACTTTTCTTTTTCATTTTTTGTGTCTTTGTCTTTTTAGTCTAATTCTCTGGAGAGACTTTTTTTTTTTCTAGAGCCATTTAGTTTTGGTTTGGTTCTTCTACTTTTAGCTTTCATTTTTCTTGTTCTGTCACTAGTTTTTCTTATATAATATCTTACCTATTTGCAAATATTATAGTATTTGTTTTTTTGTTGTTTTTTATGTGTTCTTCCTTTTTTTTTTTTAAGATTGATTTATTTATTAGAGAGGGAGTGCAGGGGAGGAGGGAGTTGCAGGTGGAGAGAGTCTTAAGCAGACTCCACACTGAGTGTGGGGCTTGATCTCATGACCCCAATATCACAACCTGAGCCAAAACCAAGAGTCGGATGCTTTGACTAACTGTGCCACCTAGGCGCCCACTTTTATTTTTTCTTCCTGAAGTTGGATTTGTCTCTTCTGGATTGCCCAGCCCTTTCCCCCTTATTTTTGTGTTTCTTTGTTTGGATTTTTCTCTTTCATGTTGGAGAGTTTGATTAAATGGTTGTTGATATTAAATTGGCTGCTCATATTTAAAAATAAGGTATAAAGAAGTAGACTGAAAACTTTTTAGCTTGTATAGATAGAGCTTGGTGATTGGTGGGCTTCATGAGAAGGCAAACTGGTGGTGGTCTGACCTTTAGGAGGGGATACCCTCTCACATGTCCTTATCTGAAGCTCTTTAGCATTATTCAGTCTTCCAGAGCAGAATTCTCCTGTCTCTTGCCTGGGTGGAGGGGAATATATGCCTGGTTGCTGGTACTGTGGAAGAAGGGGATGTAGAATTTCCATTTATTTCCCTTGTGTTTCATGGGGCTTCTTATTCCAGACCTTTATTTTGCCCAGCTACCTGAATGTGCAAACTGTGCTTCAGTTCCTCCAGAGAATAAACCCCCAGTTTTCTGCAGTGGGGGAGGATGTGCTTTCCTGACACTGTAGGCTGAAAAGAGAGATATAGCATTTCAAGTCCTCTGCTTAGCCCCATTCTCCATCGAACCTAGTAGCTGGATATTGAGTCTCATGAGAGTTCCCTAGGGGGAGTCACTCGTTTCCAATCTGTCTCTGTGGGTGTTTAAATTATAATCTCCATTTTGCTAAATCTGTTGTGTTATGTTTTCTTTGTCCTTGTAAATTAATACCACTGATAGCTTTACTGTGAACAATCTGCCAAATTTTTTTGAAAGATTTATTTATCTGAGAGAGAGAGCGAGCAAGCGAGCAAGCAAGCAAATGACTGGGGGGAGGGGCAGAGGGAGAGAATCTTCAGCAGACTCCACACTGAGTGCGGAGCCTGACACAGGGCTTAATCCCAGGACCCTGAGATCATGACTTGAGCCGAAATAGAGTCGGATGCTCAACTGACTGAGCCACCCAGGCGCCCCAACAATCTGCCATTTTTAATCAGAACTCTGTCTTTTTTGTTTTTTTTTTAGATAATTTTTCACGTTTAATTTTTAGCTTGTATAATTTTATATTAAGATAATAAGACATTTAATTACCTGTTTCCATTGCTGTTGAATATTTAGCTGGGCTCCATTGTTTTGTTTTTTTGTCATTTTAATTAAATATTTTTATAAACAGCATTTCAAAATCATTTGCATTACCTTTCTATGTAGTTTTTTTGTAACCAGAAGGCATTGTGCAACCCATTTGATCCTGCTCCCTCATTTTGCAGATGAGGAATCAGAGATTATCCCTTGGTCAGACAGTTCGTAAATAGCATAGCTAGGACTTGCGTCCAGATATTCTGGCCCAGAGTCTGCTCTTGATCACTGCACTCTTCTTCATCTCCATTGAGTTAGCCTTAATTGACCACATTACTGTCGGTTCAAAAAGTGTTTTTAAAATTGCAGTGCTTTGGGGGCGCCTGGGTGGCACCGTCGGTTAAGCGTCTGACTCTTGGTTTAGGCTTAGGTCGTGGTTTCAGGGTCGTGAGATTGAGCCCTGTATTGGGCTCCGTGCTCAGTGTGGAGTCTGCTTGAGATTCTCTCTGTCTCTCTCTCTCAAATAAATAAATAAATCTTTTTAAAAAATGAAAAAATAAAATTGCAATTTTCTAATAACTAGCAAGGTTGAACATTTTTCTATATGACATTGTATTAACTAATGCCTTTTTTCCCTTTAGTTTGTAGTCTTTCATCTGGAAAATTTGGGACGTTACTTAGTGGCTCATGGGACACCACTGCTAAAGTCTGGCTGAATGACAAGTGCATGATGACCTTACAGGTACTGTAGTAGTTCTGTGTGAATGTTCTACATAGTAATTAAATGTAATGATTTCTGTGGCAACTCAAGTTAATTCCCATTTCACTCACAGGGTCATACAGCTGCAGTATGGGCAGTAAAGATCTTACCTGAGCAGGGCTTAATGTTAACTGGATCAGCAGACAAGACTGTTAAACTGTGGAAAGCTGGGAGGTGTGAGAGGACATTTTCAGGTAAGATCAGAGTAGACAACATTTTAGTCTCATCACTTCATATTCACTCCAGTGGTGTTTTCTCAAAAGCTTAGAGGCTTGAAAATGGTATTTGAAAAACATCAGTATATTTGAACCATTTAATTTGGGTAAATGTAACTTTTCTGACAACTAATATTTAAAATCTTTTTAAAAGATAAAATGAAACCTCTCATAAAACAACTAGATGTGGAATAATCAGTGGCTACTTGATGAGCTTATAATATGGTATGCAATTTGTTTTTGGTTTAACAAGTTCACCGTGAAACTTTCAAGCATAAGCCTTATTGATGGTGGGTCACTGCTGTTAATTTCATATATAGAGGAAGACATCATTAGTGCTTCTGTGAATATTGAAGTACGTTATTTAGTAATAACAAATTTCAGGCTTATGTTGGGATTTTAGGTGGGTAGCCTTTTTGAACCTCACCTATTAAATAACTCCTGCACTGAAGCGTCTGCTGACTGATACTGGTATTGCTGATTTATTTGTGGAGCACTTAAATTTTTGGTGTGAATTTTTTTGAGTTGTTTTTCCTCTCTTTTATTTATTTTATCCTTCAAAGTTGATCACTAGTCTGGATAATACTTCAAGAAGTCCCTTTGTGCAGATAAAACTATCTATAGATGGACAAGTTATAACTAAGCATCACTGTGTTCCTGCTTCCATACATATATGTTATCAAATTGTTATTAATCTTCAGTAGCTAATCTAAAGCAGCAAATACTGAACGTGGAAAATTTTTTTGATTCCTGATCTCCTTTATTAGGTCATCAGCTTCAGAAAATGTTCTGTCCTTAAAAAAAAAAAAAAAAAAGTATGGGCGCCTGCGTGGCTCAGTTGGTTAAGCGACTGCCTTTGGCTCAGGTCATGATTCTGGAGTCCCGGGATCGAGTCCCGCATCGGGCTCCCTGCTCAGCGGGGAGTCT